TAATGATGATGAAATGATGATGAGATGAAGTGAAAAATTCATTGACGAGATTAACTATAGTAAAAAAACAAAGACGGACAGTGAGAAGAAGAAAAAGTTGAGTTCAGAATCCAGTATATCTGACTGTACGGTGCAGCAGTGTGATTCGTCAGATTATGACCCTGATGTCAATAAATATGATCATTATGTTGACAGTGATTCTCCACTTTTATCCTGCTCCTATTACGAGCCAAGAAAACCTAGATGATAAGACTAAAATTGAAGATGAGGATAAGATTGATTAAAACTACTTTTACGGATTTTATTGCGTTTAATTTTAAATTTAATTATTTTTATTTTTCATTCCCGACGTTTCGGGTGCTTTCCAGCACCCATGGTCACGGGGGAGTGGGACTGGTTCGCGATAAAATCCGTAAAAGTAGTTTTAATCAATGAGTAGTGTTCGCGTTGGTGGAAGAAATCATTATATTAGGACAAGATCATGAATTTAATGATTTCTTATATTTACGCGAACATTGCACATGATTAAAACTACTTTTACGGATTTTATCGCGTTTATTTTTACTTTTTATTTTTAATTCCCGACGTTTCGGGCGCTTTCCAGCACCCATGGTCACGGGGGACTGAGATGACTGACGTCCCGATGTCATTGTTAAACCCGGAGTACCTTCAGCTTTTTTAATTATTGTTTATGGTCCGATCTATGCAAAATGAACTGACTATGGCCTGAGGTCTTGCAGTGGTATGCTTGGGTTTAGTTTTAATTTTATTGATTATAGGATCCCAAGCAGGTGGTAGTACCCAGCCTCCTTCTCTATTGAAATTAGGATGTTTTTTAATTTCAATAGCCTCACGTATCATCCTTGGTAGGAATCGGTGTTCTTTCGCGAGGATTTGTGGTCTATCAAATCTGATGTAATGGTTGGGGCCGTCTAGGATGTGATCACAAACTGCAGACTTCCCGGAACGTTGATGCTTCACATCAGCTATATGTTCTTTTACGCGGGTCCTAATTGATCTTTTGGTTTGTCCTATATAAGAGAGACCACATTCAAGCTTGTACACTCCTGCATCTTGTAGAGGAATATGACACTTGACGGATGGTAGGAACTGACTAATCTTCTTCTCCTCACTCACCACCATCCTTCACAGTTAGCTACCGTGGGCAAATCTTTGTTACAGAGAGCACGAGGGATCTGTGACAGCAAACACCTGGCCGCCGAGCTTCAGCACGTCAAGCAAGTTCTGCACGACAACAAGCTTCGGGTCCCGCGCCTACGTCACAGTGACCGAGTGAAGCCGGCCACAGTCGAGCGTGTGCCTGTTGTACTACCATATGTCAGAGGTGTCACAGACAAGATTGGCTTTATCTTGAAGCGAGCTTCTATTAGAACATTCTACAAGCCGCCGAAGAAGATTAGTCAGTTCCTACCATCCGTCAAGTGTCATATTCCTCTACAAGATGCAGGAGTGTACAAGCTTGAATGTGGTCTCTCTTATATAGGACAAACCAAAAGATCAATTAGGACCCGCGTAAAAGAACATATAGCTGATGTGAAGCATCAACGTTCCGGGAAGTCTGCAGTTTGTGATCATATCCTAGACGGCCCCAACCATTACATCAGATTTGATAGACCACAAATCCTCGCGAAAGAACACCGATTCCTACCAAGGATGATACGTGAGGCTATTGAAATTAAAAAAACATCCTAATTTCAATAGAGAAGGAGGCTGGGTACTACCACCTGCTTGGGATCCTATAATCAATAAAATTAAAACTAAACCCAAGCATACCACTGCAAGACCTCAGGCCATAGTCAGTTCATTTTGCATAGGTCGGACCATAAACAATAATTAAAAAAGCTGAAGGTACTCCGGGTTTAACAATGACATCGGGACGTCAGTCATCTCAGTCCCCCGTGACCATGGGTGCTGGAAAGCGCCCGAAACGTCGGGAATTAAAAATAAAAAGTAAAAATAAACGCGATAAAATCCGTAAAAGTAGTTTTAATCAAGATCATGAATTATTTTGAAGCCTCAAACTTATCTCACATATTACGTGTCGAAGAAAAGAAACAATATAAAGAAAAAAATTAAACGGAAGACGATAATTATATTAAGACTAGAAAATTCTACTTGTTTTGTTAAATCTCATATTGAAGTTAAAACAGTAGGATATCTAATAACCCTTATTACACTACCCTGAATCAGGCTCCCTATGCCCTGATTCAGGGTGGTGTAATAAAAGAAAGGGAGTAAGGGTCCCTAATTAGGGCGACAAAGTGCACCCTGTCTGCAGTGTCCTTGCCGTAGTGTAGTGTAATAACACTTAGGGTAGTTAGGGATGAAAACGCTACATAAATTCTTTCAAAAATCGATATATCGTTAATAAATATGGTTATTCTAGCACACACACACACACACACACACACACACGCGCACGCGCACGCGCGCACGCACGCACGCACAAACGCACGCACGCACGCACGCACGCACGCACGCACGCACGCACGCACTCACGAACGCACGTACGCACGCACGCACGCACGCACGCACGCACGCACGCACGCACTCACGCACGCACGCACGCACGCACGCACTCACGCACGCACACGCACGCACACGCACGCATTCATACACACTTTGTTAATTTTTTTATTTTTCTTGATCTATGTTTAGAGTGCATTGTGCACGGAATGTAAGATAACTGAATGGGAGGGAAACTGCCTCCTATCATACAGGGTAACCTAGTTTAGGATTCAGGGTATCTATGAATTGTATATTTATTTCTGTGTTCAATAAAGAATTATTATTATTATTATTATTATTATAACGAATTATTATTATTATTATTTTGGGTTATTGATAGAGTAATCTCATCTGTTTGGGCTGGATAAATACATAAAAGCAAAAAATAAATATACCTAAATATATATTTACTACACTAACATAAATAAATAAATAATACATAAATAAATAAAAGCCCAACCAGATGGAAGCCTTCGGCAGGGGAGACCAAACGGCCGAGGGTTAGGGTGAAAGGGAAAGAAACCTACGGAAGATACAGGTGGTATCGAGGAGCACCACCTTCTGCATTTGAGCCCGGAGCGGTCCGTCACGGAGTCCCAGCCGCCTCAGATGACCCGAGAGGCTGGCTGGGATTAACCCGTTTGCAGACACGACTACAGGAATAATTTCGGTCGGCAGACCACCCCACATGTCGGTCACCTCGTGAGCCAGGTCCAGATATTTTGATTGCTTATCTGTTTCGGCTTTCACGAGGTTCTCGTCACACGGAATGGTAACGTCGACCAAAAATATCCTTGACTGTGCCTGATCCATCAGCACAATATCAGGCTTATTCGCAAGAATAGTCCTGTCTGTGATGATGGCCCGGTCCCAATAGAGCCTGGCGCGATCATTTTCGAGCACGGCTTCCGGCAAGTACTTGTAATACGACAATTTCTGATCCACGAGACCGTATTTCAGAGCGAGCTCCTGGTGAAGCATTCTGTCTACTAGGTTGTGCCTGTGCAAGTACTCAGAGTTAGAAAGCGCCGAACAACCGGAGATGACATGCCTAAGTGACTCACCGGGATGGCGACAAGCTCGACAAATGTCGATGGTGCCATCCTTTAGGATGTATCTCCGATAGTTGTTGGTCTTAATAACCTGATCCTGTATTACACAGACAAACCCTCGGTTTCCCCGAAGAGGTCACCGAAACGTAGCTAGTTGAGGGAGGCGACTGTATCTACTAAGGGCTCATGTAGAGCCCTGTAGTACCTCCCGTGGAGCTCCTTCTCCTTCCATACGGTCTCCCGGTCGGAAATGCTAAGCACTGCTGGGTCCTGCCATTGCTCGTTGGCTAAGGATAGAGGGGTAAGCCCTTTATCACAAGAAATGACGTCCTTATAGAATGGATCATCCGATCTCGCCAGGAAGTAATCACGGAGGCTGCACACTTCGCGTTTATGCATGGTGAGCGCACTCAGAAAGCCACGCCCACCATGCTTTCGCGGCAAGTACAGCCTCATTACCGACGATATCGGATGATGCATCCTATGGGACGTCATTGTAGTGCGGACTTTTCTATCTAGGGCGTTAAGTTCAGTCTGAGTCCACCTGAGTATGCCAAAGGTATACATGAAAACAGGCATGACCCAGCCGTTATATGCGTGTGTCTTATTCACACCGGACAAAAGGCTGTTAAGCACTTTGGTCAAGCGTGCATAAAACACGTCGCAAACTGACTGTTTCATACCAGCCTCATCGATACCGACGTTCTGTGACATACCCAGGTATCGCTATGTTTCAGCTTCGGAAAGGGTCCTTAAGTTGACGGGCATAGATAAGTCTATGCCCTCCAAGTTAGCAACCCTTCCCCTTTCAACATGGAGGACCGCACACTTATCCGTCCCCAGCATTCCATAGTTAACTAAATTCACAAGTGATGTTTAGCAATTCCATAAGATGGGAGCGACTGGAGGCGAATAACTTGAGGTCATCCATATAGAAAAGGTGGGTCACTTTTGTACCTCCTTTCCGAAGCTGAAATCCCCTTCCGGAGCCCTTTAGTAAAGTACTGAGAGGGTTCAGAGAGAGGCAAAACCAGATTGGACTCAGACAATCGCCCTGGAAGATACCCCTTCTTATCCTTATGTGGTTTTCCGCAGATATCATCCGCTCGCCCAGATAGCAAAGGATTGTACTCCACTGCCCCATACACTGTTCGAGGAAGTCTCCAACTGTACAGTCAATCTTGTACAGCTGGAGGACTCTCTTTAGCCATGTATGGGGCACCAAGTCGAGTGCCTTTCTGTAGTCTATCCAGGCGGCGGAGAAGTTCTGACGGTTGCGTTTCGCCACTTTGCCAATTATGGCGTCAATAAGGAGTGGTTCCTTGGTTCCACGACCACCGCCCCGACATCCATTTTGAGCGCGTGACATCACCTGATTTAGCTCCAGGTGACGAGTGCGTTTCGCGCTCAAAATGGATGTCAGTGTTTTATATATGGTGGATAGACACGTGATGGGGCGGTATTCGCTCGGGTCTGTGGTAACTCCCATCCAAGAGACCACAGGCCACGCCAAAATGCGATAGTATCAGCCTGATCCGGTCCTGGGCTCGCTCCACATACCTCTGGTCGCTCCAATGATTTATAGAGCCTCTTCTGATCACTCTGGAAGAGACGATTCTGGTTGAACCACCTTGACCTCTCGCTAAATCGTCGAATCCGCTTCCCCCAAGCAGCGATTTTTTGCTTCAGGTCATCTATGCGCTCCGTTAGTTTCTGCTTGATATCCGGCTCGGATAAACTAATATTTGTTCTAGCAAACGCCATTCTAATGGTGCGCACAACTCTCGGTCTGTTATTATCCGACCTGACGCTTGTCAGTCTGCCAATAAGGGCTCTTGCCTTTGTGGTACGGTCCTCGATTCTTTTTCTCCAAGCTGGGATGGCGCTACTTTGTTGAGTAGCACGTTCAGCCATGGGAAGTTTGGCGCCAATAATACTGCATACTGCCAGTGCGGCGCCAAAAAGAATTGAGTCCGTCTCGCAAAGTTCCCGGCTGGCTCCCAAATAGGTCACCAGCATTGGGTTAAGAGCCCGCACGACAGCCCGATTTCGCTTGCTAAAGGGTATGCGGGGAAGTCGCGGTCGATTTTCGAGAGGCATGCTGCGCGTTTCCAACATCGTAGCATTTCCTTTCGATGAGGGAACAGCCTCACGTCGTAGTCGTTCGAGTTCGGCATCACCAAATATGTTGGAGCGCAGGATGTACCGAACTCGGTCTGCCAGGTTTTGCTCATTGACGGATAGAGATGGCTCCAGCTCTGCAAAAATCGATGCATCCGAGCCCGATACGCCAAACATCCTGTTTCTTCCACTTTTGCCCTAAAGTACGCCCGCAGTGCGTTTGCGTTCATTAATTGTGACCAACGCATGCGACGTGCTCCACCAGCGGCGGGTGCTGCTTGCTGAGTCCGAGAAGACACAACCGACACCAAGCCTTCTGGTGGGGATGATGGATGCGGGGAGCTGCTAGGTGGTCTTGCAGCACCCCACGCTCGGCTGGCGGCCCGCATGCTATCGCGTCCAGCGCCAGCTCCAGACGCGCCCTGGCGACCTCCAGGCAGCGGCTATTTGCGCACTATCTTTTTTTCCATCATCCATGGTTTGGGCGTCCATTAACGGGAGACGCCCAGGCCCGGCACCGTATCGTGTACGGCCATAAGCACAAACGGGCCTTTGCACCCTAAGTTCTGCCGAGGCACGGCGCTCACACCTCTCTGATCACTCTGGAAGGCGCTGACTGACTGCGTTGACGTAGCAGTTTTGTCACTTAACTGTTACGTCAGCGGGCGATGGGGTCGTCAAATCCCTACGCCATTTTATTATTATTATTATTCTTATTCGTAAGCGATGTTTTATGAAAGATGTTTTGGCTTGCCGTCAAAGGTTTCGAAATAACCAACTATTTGAAGGTATAAAATTCCGTATGTTAAAAGTTGCAAACGATGATTATCACGAATTTTATATCGCCGAAAAATAAATATACCAAAAAAATATTTCTCAAAGTTAGATAATGTCTAAATTTTTAAAGTTAGAAGGTTTATTTAGCAGAAATATCACAATCCCGAAAATTTTAATTACGAATCAACAAACAGGCGAATGGGTCTGTCAGTCGAAAATAAATTGTACTCTCGACTCAAATATACTTGAACTTCTGAAATGCAATTATCTTCAATCGGTTATTTTATTTTTGATGTAAAATTGTGGTTTATTTTTATTGTGGTAATGAATTAACATAGGTTTACAATTAATATGGAAAATGGATTGGAATGGTTTTAATTATTTTTTATTAATAATTATATTGTTTGAGCTTTAACTTAATCAATAGCTTAAGTACAGTTTTTAGAGTAATAGTTATTTTATATTGGAAATTACTTTATCGGCTTACGGTACTTCGTATTTCGTTACAATCACTTTTCTGAAACATTGATTTTGATGGATGAGCGGTTATTCAACTGCTTGTATTTTAGTATAGTTTAGTAGATGTATTCAGAAAATACTGAAGGTGACATATGGAACTACTATAAAGAAGTAACGCACCAAAACATAAGAAATAAAACTAAAGCAGAAGAAGAGTTCCATATATTACATGCGTTGGAGATGTGGGATGGCACGAAAGGGTTATTTCTCGGGCTTCATAGCCTAGCTAAGATCTATTTGCCTATCGTGGCAACTTCGGTATCCAGTGAGCGGTTATTTTCAGAGGCTGGATCTACAATCACCCAGGATAAACCGCTCACTAGGCGCCAGATTGTTAAAATTATTATTCTAAATTTCAATTCGAAAGAAATAAACATAAAAGAAAAAAATCTTGTTTTCTGATAATAATTCGATAAAAATAAATGTGTAAAAATAAATAGTGTAAAACTTCCTTAAAAAACATAAATATAATGTTTGATTATTATACCTCTTTTTCTTCATTTCTGTTCAAAATTATCATTTATTCTATATATATATATATTCCCCCACCACACCAATTCAGTTTAAAATATTGAAATGTTTTCTTAGTAACTGTAATTCTTTGTTTGAAAAAATGAAACTAAATACTTGCATAGTTGGTGATTGTAACTTACCTAACGTTAATTGGAATCTCGTCAATGAATTGAATAGCAATTATTATGCTCCTTTATGGTTCAAAGTCTTATAGATTTCTGTTACATGAATAAATTACGACAGTGCAATTTCGTCGAAAATAAAATGGGGAGAATCCTCGATTTAGTTCTAATAAATTGTTCACATTGCATTGTTAATGAGGCATATGATATATTGAGCAACATAGATCGTTCACATCCTCCGATTGAAATACAACTACTTATATCTGAGAAGCATAAATTAAAATACTATTCTAATATCAAAAAATAGAAAATTTGTCCCACGGAGTACGATAAAAAATAGGAAATATCCTATTTGGTTCAGTTGGAGTCTGATTAATGTAATGAAAGAAAAAAATAAGGTGAGGTCTAGGTATAAAAAATATAATAACGCAATGGATTTACTCAGCCTAAAGTTATAAGACATGTGACACATTAGCTAAAACCTGCTACCTACTACGCTTATGTAAAATGTATAGAAGATAATATTGTCATAAATTCTAGTTTTTTGGTCTTACATCAAAACTAAATGGCATGGTAATGGTAAATATCCGAGTGCAATGACTAATGGTAGTGTAATGATAACAGATGGACGTGATATATGCAATCTTTTTGCCTCACATTTCTCCTCAGTATACACCGTGGACAATCCTAACAGGCTTGATAAATATGATTCAACATTATATTTTTTATATGATTCATATGATTGAATTTCATATGATTGAATTTGAAGTTCATATGATTGAACAATAATTATAATTTTGGCACTTTGATTTTGGATGAATAATCTAAAAAATAAGGTAAAATAAGGTTTTAGAAAAATTAAAGGACTTACACCGAAAAAGAGGAGCTGGTCCAGACTCTATTTCACCTTGCTACATCGCTGAATGTGCCATAGAACTATCTACTCCTCTTTGTTTTATATATAACAAATCTTTACAAACAGGACGCTTTCCAGATATGTGGAAGGTCGCTAAAGTTGTCCCTATACATAAAGCGGTGTTGGCGACACGCCTATAAGAATATTTCAATTTATTAGTTAACCGATTACGAATAGCTTCTAAAAAGCAAATTATCAAGCAACAATATTCCGATAAGAAAATGCTTAGTTGAATCTTAAAGAAATATCGAATTAATGATATGAAGGTCTTGGGTTCGACTCCCAGGCCGGAGTAGTTTATCGTTTTCTTAGTAATATCTCTTAAGCGGGCTACATACGACACGATATCGGTGGCGATCTAGGGTGGAGTAGTGGGGATGCCTCCTAGATTGCCTCTAAATCGTGTCGTATGTAGAGCCATCCTAAGTCGTAGCCGATATCGCCTCCTTAATCGGCTGGCAGGAGCAAAAATGCTTCCTAGATCAGCCGATGCTTCCTAGATCGGGGCACCGCCCCCTCCTTACTGCGTGTGTGTAGGCGCATCGGCCCGATTTCTTTTGGCAGTCGCTGCCGGCAACCCTCGCGGAAGGAAGTTAACAAAACAGTGATACTGAATGACCTTTTTTATGTAACAAAATTTTTACATTTTAATCATATAAACGGAGCAGAAGCCTATGGCACTGATATTTTACAAAAAACCAAAAAAAAAGTGAATAAAATAAATAAATTAAATGAAATTTTATCGAAATTCAAATCATATCCACCCTAGCCTGTGACCCTGCGAAGTGACATGGTCAAGAATGCTTACTAAACTAATTTTTTATTGCCGTTCGTAAAGTAGAGTGTATGATGTAAGTAAGGAGAAGATAAAGCCTCTCCTCAACAACTAACTCCTATTCCAACACTATCAACACAAGACCGCACTCATATCTCTTACAACTCCACAAGACCAAAATTCGATCTCTTACGTGCCTTCATCCTCTTATAAACAACTAACTTCTACTCCTTCACCATCTCCACATCAACAAACAAGTTATATAAAAGAGAGTATGTCCGAAATTAAAGGTTTCTTTATGTTTAAAAAAAGATATAAGCTATTTTATTTTCTGATAGTTTTACTCCATAAATAAAGATTACATTAAAAAAAGTATACATATTATTATACAAAAGTATTTTATTTCCTTGTTTGTTGTGTGTAATACATAACCAGATTTAGACCAAAGCAGAAATGAACAAAGAGAAGAAATAACTAAATAGCATAGGTACATAGGAGAAATTGATGTTTTTATATAAGTGGAGAAATCATTTCTAGAAGGTTATAAAAACTGTCTTCATCCATCCGGAGAAAATTAATCATGTCTTTGGAATACAGATCATTTAGTACGTTTATGTGGCTTAATTTTTGTCTCTTTTGGAGCCATTTTTTCACCCAGCAACTCCTCTTTTTCTATTTTCGAATAAATTTACCGAGAGGGCTAATGCCAAACCAATACATTGGTGTTTTAAGAGAGTTGAAGCTATTTTGAAGAACTCTACCGCATATGTGTTCCGCTCCAAGTCCGAACGCGTACTGCTAGGCAGGCCCGTGTGTAGGGTCTGCCCCGATAAAAGCCCCGATTTCTTTCCACCCTAGATCGCCACCGATATCGTCTCGTGTGTAGCCCGTTTTAATAAATTCATATAGGGAATTTTTAAGATATAAATTATGTTACCGGATTTGTTCCCCGGTTGAAATCATCTTTCCAATAATGTTAATTTAAAGAAATATTAAAATAAAGTTAGAGACCAGGTTTTGTTCCCCGGTCGAGATGATCGCTGTGCATAAGTAGAATTAATGGAAATTAATTGCAAAAGTATTGTCTTATATGAGTTTGATATGTTTTGTATGAAAACAAATGCCTATTTTCTATGATTGATTTATGAAAACATTATGGTCGATAGCCGTGCAAAAGTTAGTTGTTGAAATAGTGTGAGTTCATAGACGCACGCTAGCCACGTACATAGGAGGCCAAATTTGTAGAAATTTAAATATTTGCAATTTCAGCAATTTATGTAAAATGACTTGTAAAACATTTCAGATTGATTGTACGTGTAAAAGAGGTGAATTCTGTGTTATTTTATGTGAAAATTCCTGTCAATAAGTGAAATAGGTAATGATAGTTTTGTATAAGAAATTTAAAAGTGTTTTGATAGTGAAATGTATAGAGAAAATGCAAAAAAAAAATATTGTATTAGTTAACATATGTATAATTTCAAGTGGAAAACATTGTTTTAAGATTCTATGTTAAATATTTAAGAAATTCCAACTTTGAACATGTGAGTAAAATAAG